TCCCTGTGTCACACATGGGTTACCTATGGTACACACGGTCTATCTGTGTCACACATGGGTTACCTATGGTACACATGGTCTAACTGTCACACATGGGTTACCTATGGTACACATGATCTGTGTCACACATGGATTACATATGGTACACATGGTATCTTTGATACCTATGGTACACATGGTCTGTGTCACACATGGATTACCTATGGTACACATAGTCTCTGTGTCACACATGGGTTACCTATGGTACACATAGTCTATCTGTGTCACACATGGATTACCTATGGTACACATGGTCTAACTGTGTCACACATGGATTACCTATGGTACACATGGTCTGTGTCACACATGGATTACCTATGGTACACATGGTCTAACTGTGTCACACATGGATTACCTATGGTACACATGGTCTAACTGTGTCACACATGGATTACCTATGGTACACATGGTCTAACTGTGTCACACATGGATTACCTATGGTACACATGGTCTGTGTCACACATGGATTACCTGTGGTACACATGGTCTAACTGTGTCACACATGGATTACCTATGGTACACATGGTATCTGTGTTACCTATGGTACACATAGTCTAACTGTGTCACACATGGATTACCTGTGGTACACATGGTCTAACTGTCACACACGGCTTACCTATGGTTAATATGGTCTAAAATGTGTCACACATGGGTTACCTATGGTACACATGGTCTAACTGTGTCACAAATGGGTTACCTCTGGTCACAGTTACTAAAAAAGACTGTTAGGAAACGCTTTTGTTAAAAGGTGTGAATCTGCCTAATCCATCAAGGATGCGTGTCGCGCTGTGTACGCCCTCTATTGCTTGAGATTTCAAGGTTCACCATTTTGTTTCATTTTTGTGTCGATTACATGATGTCCCGCGAATTTGAAATTTTCAGTTCGTTTTCGATAGAATATCCACGTTTAGTGCACAAGCTCTACGAAGAACTAAATTTACATTTCGGATGAGTACTCTTTGTGACTGTGATAACATTCAGAATAGAGAATCGTCATTTATCGTTTTGACTGTTGTCATGAAAGTAAGCTTGGGTCCCGGAAAAAAAAGTGACGAAAATTCTAACCCCTAAGTCATTATTTTAAAATACATTATATTATAAAAAATACTACCAAATGAATTTTTAGTATACTACTGTGCGTGACGGTTTTATGTGATTTGGGGGCTTATTAGAGTACATTTTATCGTTTTGCTTTCGCGTTACTGTATCAGCCATTTTGTTTAAAGTCGTAACACTTTTTTTGTAGACGCCGTAGAAATCGTTGAAAATGTATTCAACATTTTCCGCCAGTTTCATAAAATGCCTGTTTAATTGTTCTTGTCTGTCCTTGTTTCAGTTTTTTTGCAAATTTTTCATGTTGCAATATTCAGCGTGCCGTTAAATGCGGTTTTAGTCAACGCTACAATTTTGGAACACATTGAACGGTCGGTACAACTTTCTAGCAGTCTCTTCGCCAAATCAATTTTTCAAACCCTTTTTGACCGTTCTTAATTTCATTGGAACTGCCTGTTGTTGCATATTTGGTCTGCTTACATGCATTTTGTAGAGCATGGGCAGGTCATTTCAGTTATCTTATCGCATATTTTGTTTATTTCCAACAAAATGTATGTGGTACCATGGCTCCTCATTAAAACTTTCGCATGGCTGAAATATAAACACTGATCATGTTTTGTTGGTTTTTTTATTTCAGTTTTCTGCCGATCTTGTTCTTTAGAAATGAAAATGCCATACAAGACAGGCAAATTTGTATTGAGTTCAAACTGAGCGACAGGTTTTGTCAGGATTCACTGGAACAACTTACAGTTTAGTATTACTGAAAGTATCGACACAGACACAACAAAATGGCGTGCAGTTGTTGATTGCAATGAGATCTGGGAAAAATGACGTCATATTTGCATGATTTCCTGTCTACATTTTATGTTAATGATTTATCACAGATTAGTATGTCTTTTGTTTCAAATGTTTACCTGCGACACGCATCCAATGAAAAGAACATGGTTTGTTTCCTAACCGTCTTTTTTAGTAACTGTGCTATGGTACACATGGTCTAAATGTGTCACACATGGATTACCTATGGTACACATGGTGTAACTGTGGTACACATGGTCTAACCGTGTCACAAATAGGTTACCTATGGTACACATGGTCTAAATGTGTCACAAATACATGTAGGTTACCTATGGTACACATGGTCTAAATGTGTCACACATGGATTACCTATGGTACACATGGTCTAACTGTGTCACACATGGATTACCTATGGTACACATGGTCTAACCGTGTCACAAATAGGTTACCTATGGTACACATGGTCTAAATGTGTCACAAATAGGTTACCTATGGTACACATGGTCTAAATGTGTCACACATGGATTATCTATGGTACACATGGTGTAACTGTGTCACAAATGGGTTACCTATGGTACACATGGTCTAACCGTGTCACAAATAGGTTACCTATGGTACACATGGTCTAACCGTGTCACAAATAGGTTACCTATGGTACACATGGTCTAAATGTGTCACACATGGATTACCTATGGTACACATGGTATCTGTGTT